CCCCCCCCCCTATTTGTGTTCTGCCAAATACTGGAATCGCATCGGCCCGAGTCTTTGTGCGGCAACGAGCGTGTGCGCGGGCGTACCTGAAGTTCCCGTCAAGGTCACGTGATTCCCATCCGGCGTGGTCTCTGCGAACACAAACGCACAAAACTGCCGAGTGGTGCCTCGAGATGCAAGTGGAGTTTGTTCCTTGACCATGCTCAAGACTGAAAACACTCAGAGCTCAAATCGTTCTTCGCCCTTGAGTTGAAAAGATGCGGCCGAGTTGTTTGAAATGAGCAGCCCGTCACCTACTGCACCGAGACACGCGTTCCTGTTTGTGCTGGAATCGAACGCGCAAATCCTGCCCCGGCGCCGTTCCTGCTTCATGCATGCTTGTCGACTGGATGCCGCAGCCGGTCGGCGGGGGCAAACGCTGCCTAGAACCGCAGTGGGATTCGTGCAGTCACTCTTGGCAGAGGATCGAGAGTACACCGAGGGCCGTTCTACCGTCTACGCGCGTCGCTGCGCCCTTTGCGTTCAAATGTGTGCTGAAACACAGATGCCGATATCGTCTTAGCATTAGCCTGAAGCTCGCGGACTGAGAGGCGAAGCTCGGATGGAGATGAGGAATGTTTGAGGCGCGCCGAAGCGCATTTTTCTCGCTCACCCGCGCCCCGGCCGGCGGCCGTGGTCCCGCGTTCCTCCTCTGGGTGGCGCTCTGCCAAGGAGACGAAACAAAAGAGTCAGAAAGCAGCCGCCATAAGGAAGGGGATGAGGAGACAAGAAGAAGACGGAGCAACCGGGTTGGTATTTGCAGATGAAGTTATGTTTCATGGAGCAGCGGTCGTCGTTCCATTGGTAGAGGTAAGCCCCGCCCACTCCCGGCTGATGATACATCACCACGCACGACTCGGCGCCGCACGACGGCTCGTCCGAGTGCCACTCCCTGCGGACAGGCGACAAAAAGCAGACTTGGCGCGGTCCCGCGCGCCCGTGCCGCCCGCGACATCACCTGAAGGCCGCCGCGCTGCCGTCGGTCCACCTGTAGCGTTGCGGGCAGGGAGCGACGCCGTCGGAAGGATGTCGCTCGTCGTCGTCGTCGTCCGCGCGCCTCAAACCGATCCAGAAATCGCCATCTGATATTCCCGATCCCAAACGCAACTTCTGAACAACACACAACTACCGTGAGGGATGAGGACGATGACGAAGTCGGTGGCGGCGATGATGGTGAGATGACGGTGACGATCGGGAGACTGATGGCGACGATGAAGTCGGTGACAATGCCGAACGTGATGAGGATGGTGATGAAGATGACGTTGGTGATCGGCGGCCGAATGTGAGGTCGGAGATGGCAAATGATGTGAGAAGGGCGGCGGCGGCGGCGACCTCCAGGAGCGTCTGGATGTGCTTCTGTTCTTGCGGCGTGCGTATGCTCACGAGGTGTCCGCCATCCACGCGGCACGCCAGCTCGGCCTCCCAGAAGTCGACGCGGCTGGACACGTGGTGGAAGTAGGCCATCTTGTAGCACGCCGGCCGGGCCCCGCCCAGGCACAGCCTTTGACCTGCGCACGCACGACCCCGCGCGTTGAGCTCGAGTGAGGCGTGACGTGCGTGAGTGATGTCATCGACTTGATCTGGGTCGACGTCGCCGCCGCCAGCTAACTGCGGCAAAACGACATTCGCGTGTTGGAAGCAAAGGCCGTCTGACGGACGGGTGGAGGAGCCTCTCTCAAATCGAATCGCTCCAATTCGCTCCGCGGCCGCGCTCGCGTTGCATTCCGCCTCAAATACGCGCAATTGCGCTTTCTCGCCGACAGGTGGAGACGCCGTCCACTGTTTTGCATCAGAGAAGACGCTCCGGTTCAAAACAAAAAAAGTTCAATTTCGCCTTCTCCCTTTGTCACCAAAACACAACGACAGTGGGCTCACCGTCTGCTTCCTACTCGACACCGCCCCGCTTTTAAATGAGAGCCACGATGAAGCAAAAGTCTCTCACATTGGCACAACTCCTTCGACCGGATGAATTTGACGAATGCGGTGCGCTCCCGTTCGCCCCAAATCACAACGGCGTCGGATTTCTGAGCCGTTCCCCACTGCCTGCTTCCGCGAGACCTCTTGTCAAAATTTGGATTGGCAAAAAATAAAAAGTTGGACGTTTCAATCTCTTTGCATTTATTGAACGTCTTTTGGAGACATACTTGCGTTGACAATATTCCATACACAGAGAACTAAACAAATATTGCCCATCGGCAGATCCCAGTACCAATGTGAATTTTGCTCACCGTTTATGTGGCTGGCATCGGCTTCACCCAAAGTCAGTGCGGCCCCTGCGGGCAAAATGGCTGCGCAGGACGCGTTCACCCAAATGTAAATCAGCTGACACCCCAGTTGGGGTCGACTGTCAAAGTGTCCGAAAACACCTTGCATATCTCACTGCGGAGCGTCGCTAGCGCCAATGCGAAAATCGAAGGAGGATCCATCCAAATCCGAACGGGAAATGAGCATCGACTTTGCGCGTCGGAATGGACTCGTCGGAAACGCGGGGAAGGCAGCACGAGTCAAAGGCACAACTTCTGCCCAATGTGTGACAAAACCGCCGAGTCTCCTCCGAACGGAGTCGAACGCAACCTTCTTCTGCTCTCCGTCTTAGGGCGCACTCCACCCGCGCATCGCGCCGCACTGCCCTTCAGAGGCCAAAAGGTGCGCGAACAGCCGGCAATTGTTTCCGAACAGCCAATGACGTCGGTTTCTTTGACCAACACGTATTTCCGCCTGACACGGCACGAACCCCGAGATCCCATCTGAGCCCAGCCGGTCCCAAGACTTGTGAACGTAAAAGAACTCAAGATACGACGAATGCGATCAAGAGTTAAGGGTCGTGTTCGCGCACTCTGTTCGCTGCAGCGTCATCACATCGCCGTTCAACACACTCAACACTTTTCTTGACAGCGCGTGCGCGCCCGCCCCATCGCGCATCCAGGATCGGCTCGGAGCCAGAACGAATGAATCATCGATGCATCGCTCACGCGCGCGCGCGTTGCTGATGGAGACGCGACGCGTGCGACGAAGAGTGGAAAAAAAAGCGTTCCCGCGGTCGGTCGCCCGCCGGCCGAGCAACTCACCGCTGAGGACTCTTCCGCCGCTGACCGCCGCGACCAGCACGACGAGAGCCAGGACTTGCGGGCTCGCCAGGTCAAAGGTCATCTTCCCGCTTTTCTTCGGAGTTAAGAAAACATTCGAAATAACGTCCGCTTCTTTTTCTTCTTCTTGGTGCGACGCAGGCAAGGCCAGATGCTCGCGAGGCCCGCCCCCTTCCGCAGCCCCGCCCCTTTCCCCTCGCACACAAACCCCCCCACGCACACTCAACTTAATTGCTTTAGTGGGACAGCGGGAGACGTCTCCGATCGATAGCTCAGTCGATAGCTCGCCATAGCAGCTGGATGACATCATCGCAATGATAAGCACTGTAGCGAGTCAGCGCAGGGGGAATATTTGACAAAAAAAAAGGGGGGAAGCTTCACCATATTTGTCCATCACACACACACACACACACACACAAGGCAGGGAGTGAAGATGAAGCCATCCTCTCAGACTGACTGTTGTCATGGTTATTACATATGCGCACCCGCCCACGCTCGCACACAGCACACACACAGACTTTGTTGCTGGTTGGTCATCAATTCCCATTTAAGGAATCCAGACAAACTTTATTGATCTGTTTTGGTTGACAACAGGCAAGGTGATTGATACGCAGGACTTTCGACATCGCAAGCGATTTGAGCCAATCACACGGTTTTGATATTTATTTACAAGACGGCGTCCGTGCCGGGGTCAAAGTTCATCACACTAAAATCAATACAAGAATCTTAAAAAGTGAGCGGATGGTGACGCGACCGGGTCAAGCCCCGCCCACCTCCAACAGCCACTGCTGGGGCAGCGAGGCGTCGCATATCGCCATGGCGACGAAACCTTTGGCTCCCGGCGGCTGCGCGGCAGACAGACACTGACCGACGGACACCTGGTACACGCGAGCGGACTTCTGTGGGAACGAGCACACGAGCTTAGTTCGGAAAACGGCAAAGGAGAGGACGTATCGGAGGAGGCGGGAGCGCGTCTCACCCCGAGGCTCCACTGCTGCGACCCTCCCGAGCCGTGACACTTCATTAGCCTGGGCGGGTCCGAGGTCCTGACTTCCGACACGTCCAGACACAGCAGGCCGGACAGGATCAGCTGACCTTCGTCGTCGTACGTCCACTCCTGCACGCACGCACGTCAACACAGCCGCCACCGTGACGTCGCGTTTCCGCGGCGGCGTCGCGCGGGGCCGCAGGTCACCTGTTCGGGGTCGTCGGGGTCACAGGGCCTGAGCACAACGGCGCCGCCCTTCTGACTGACTCGCGTCTGCGCCACCAAACAGCGTCCGCCGGCCACGTTGCGCAGCTGAAACGGGAAGCGGCTTTGAATCGGACGCCCGCCGCTCAACGCGAAGCCGGCGGGGCCGAGGGTCAAAGGTTACCTGTCCTCGGCGCAGCACCCGGGGGCGCGCCGCTTTCCTGTCACCGAGCACGGGCGGCGCCTGGGGCTTGTTGTTGATTTCGGGGTACACGTTGTCCAGGTACCAGCGGAACGAGCGACACTGCAGACGTTTCCTCAGCGCCAAACGCTCGCTCACGTCGCCAAAGTCGCGCTGGCGCAGCTCGGGACGCAGGGAGAGGAAGTGCTCCTGCGAGGAAAAAGGAGCCGTGACCGCAAGCGTCCAATGTCGCGCAAACTCCACACAGGAAGGCCGGAGCCCGGAATCCAACCCGCCACCTCTGGCTGAGGATTTGAAATGATCCAAGGGCTTCCCGCAGGTGCCGGGTTGTCATGCCAACACTCAACCGGGGTCTGGTTGTTATGGCAACACTGACACAGGTGGGCAACCCCCCCCCCCTCTCCTGTGTGTGTGTGTGTGTGTGCGCGCCTGCGTACCTTGTAATCGTCCATCCAGACATGAGCCAGGCGCAGGGAATTGTGGGCCATGGTGTCATGGCCTCCCGGGGAGCCGTAAGGTCGCCTTTTGCGGAAGATGTGACCAACACGGGAACAGGGGATAATCAGCAGCTGCCCACCGCACATCCAAATCTAACGCGCACGCACACACACACGCACGCTCATTGTCTTGGGCTTTGGCAAGCAGCGTTTTGCGGCCCACGATTGTGAAATGGCGCCGGCAGCGGTTTCGACGGCGCCATCAAGGCGAGCGAGCCGGGCCTCACCCTGAAGGAGATCTCCAGGTTCTCGCCGCCCCAGATGTCCATGCCGGCGTCGTACTGACCCAGCTCGCCAAAGTACTTCCTGTCCATGGCGAACAGACCGCCCGCCATGGTGGGAGACCTGGGGGAGAGGCGGCTCAGACGGGGCCGGCCGAGGGCGGGGCCGAGGGCGGGGCCGAGGGCGGGGCCGGCGCGCTCCTTACCTGATGGGGGCGATGGCGCCCCGGGGCCCGGCCAGCTGGGCGGCGGGCACGGGGTCCCACTTGAAGTGCAGCCCCCAGTTGAAGCCGCCGCGGACCACCGGCGACGCCGAGTAGGCCAGCGTGTCGGCAGAAATGATGTCGATGACGGGACAGACCACCGTGCGGCGCTGCGCCCGGATGGCCGCCAAGAGGGGCTGCAGCCACGCCCGGTTGACCTCGCAGTGACTGTCCAGGAACACCAGAACCTCGCCTGGCGGGTGCGCGCAAGTTGGAGGGCGGGCGGGCGAGGAAGGCCGAGGTCACGCAAGGCGGCGGGACGGGACTCACCGGTGGCGTGCTGGGCTCCGATCATGCGCCCTCGGATGAGCCCTTCCCTCCTCTGGTTCCGCAGCAGCTTGACGTTCCGGGGCAGCTGCTCTCGGACCAATCGTTCCAGGTCCTCGCTCAGCTCGGCTGCGGCCATTTGGTCTCGCTTTAGTCACTTCATTTGCGCGAGTTGATTTCCGCGGCGCCGCTTTGTCACGGCCGAGGAATCCGGACGTCGACGTCCCTTCTTCGGGGGCGGCACTCACTGAGCTCGCTGTGGTCGTCCACCAGGATGATTTCGTGAAGGAGACGAGCGGGGGTGCGGTCCAGCACGCTGCGGACCGTCCTGGTGAGAGCGGAGATGGCCTCGTTGAAGAAGCAGATGACCACGCTGGCGGCCGGGAGATCCTCGGGGTAGGCCTCGGCGCCGCACCTGCAAACGGCAGCGGGTCAGTCGTCGGCGGGCGGGCGGGCCGGGACGACGGGCGGCCCACCTGCGGTCCCTGGTGTCGGGCAGCTGGCGGCGAGGGCCGATGCGGCGCGAGATCAGCACGTTGAAGGCGTGTTGACGGTAGCCGGCGTCCCGGACTTCCTGGTCGGCCTCGTTGAAGATCATGCCTGCGCGCAGAGGGTTCCCGGAGCTACTTTGCGGGAGCCGCCAACTTTGGCCGCCATCGCAAATGTCCCAAGCGCGAGCCGAGCGAGGTTCTCCGCGGGCCGGTCAACTCGGGTCACGCCGGCCCCGCCCGCGCTCACTCACCCATTTCCGGCGACAGCCCGGTGACCCCGGCGTCGTCATCGCCGCCCCGCCGGGC